CCCCAAAACCCCAAAACCCCAAAACCCCAAAACCCCAAACAGTGGGAGATCAAATAATTTGACCTAAGATTATTCAATCTAGGGTCAATACAAGATTTCAAGGTATCAAAATTAGTGATAACCAGGTCTCAGTATGAAATTAGGAAAAAAATTAAACAAAATATATTTAAGTCAATAATTGGAAATTATAGCTCGTTAAATTAGCTCTTAATATATGGTAAAAACCATTTTGGGATAAGCTCCTTAGTAATTTTCTCAACATACCTGAGACTTTTTCTGATAGTGACTTCTGATAGACCAGCAGCCTCGGCTATCTGTCCAAAGCTTTGAGGGCATGGAGAATCTTTAGTAACTATATAGATAGCTACTCCAGCGATGGTATTTGGGTTCTTTCCTGTTAATAATTCTCTCTCACGGATAATGTCAACACATTGTCGACAAGCTTTCTCAATGTAATCTGTTATACTAAGATTTCGTCACAGAGCTGAGACCTTCTCCTCATAGTTTGTATTAACCTGAGCACTTGGCATGCTCCTTGCTATAAGTTTATATCATTTAGTGACATCTCTTCTCTTCACTCTCAATACGCTTAATAAATCTCTGAGATCTCTAGGTCTGCCTACGATCTTTCATGCCATATAAATACATGCTGTAAGTTTGGCTTCATAGCTTTTCCCTCTAAGGATATTCTTCTTCTCACTTGCTGAGTAAAGATCCATTGCCATATCAAAGCAAGCTTTTGTCAGGTTTAACTGGGATGAAAACCTCTTCATTATCATATTTCCTGCTTTAATATTCCTATCAGTTGTGGTTACGAAGCGTTTATTTGCGTTTTTCATGAAGCTCTCTTCCGCATTAGTACCTGTAATATTACTTTCAACTCCGTAATTCTCAAGGTGCGGGTTAAGGTTTCCTCCCGTCCGGTCCATGACGGACTTCTCTGTGCCCATATTTCTCCACTCTGCAGACTCATCAATCATGGAGAACTCTTTGACGTCACCTCAGTTCTTACAGACCCGTGTGCCCTCTCGTTCGTGGACGACGACGCTTCGAGTGTGGCAGTCATCACAGAAGGCTGATTCCATCTGGGCCTTGATGACTTCTTTGTACCTCTTCTTGGCGGCTTGTTTTGGGATAGGCAGATCGTTGGAATAGTCGATGTAGTGAGACTTGTTGGGGCCCTCAGGCAGGGAAAAGGCCTGATAGGCTCTGGTAGGGGGATTCGAGGTCATTATTTTAATGATTGGGCTGTTGGAGGCTTAAATGGGACAGGCCAATTTTTGGAATTTTTAAGGGGTTTTGGGGTTTTGGGGTTTTGGGGTTTTGGGG